TTAAGGAATTAACAATGAAACTGGTCTTCAGATGATGCAGATATTTAGTTCAGTTGATTCGATCATAAATTAACTCTAAGATGGAATAGACAAAAAAGGTCAAGACCAAATATTCTCTATGATTACACTGTGGCAGGCACAAGAAAAGTGGGTGAGACAGATTAATTGCCCAGTGAATGTATCTGCTAACCTCTTCTGATCTATTCGTCTGGGAAAAAAATTTAAGTATTATAAAAACAAAAAAAAAATCCCCAAATTAAAAATAAAAACTTACAAATTAATCCCACCTCTGTACCTCAAGAGGAGACTGTAAAAGATCACTTCTAAGAAAAGTTTTGTATCACTTGACATTTAATTTGAAATCATTCATCTTCAAGTCAGCAATTAGGTGCTACTATCAGACATTCATCATGAATTAACAGAAGAATATATTTCCCCCAGAGGACAGAAAGCAGTGCTTTGCACGGAGCAAGTCAAGGAAAACCAATACAGTTGAGAGTAGATCTTTTAAAAAAATAAATGTCCTTTACTTGTCCCCTAACATATACATTAGTCCCCCCTTATCCGTGAGGGACACATTTCAAGACCCACAGTGAATGCCTGAAATCATGAATAGTACCTATACTATAAATACTGTGTTTTTCCTATACATACATACTCACGATGAAGTTTAATTTATAAATTAGGCACAGTAAGAGATTAACAATAATAACCAAACAATTATAACAATCTATTGTAATAAAAATTTTGTGAATATGGTCTGTTTACCAAAATATCTTATTGTATTGCACTCACCTTCCTCTGGTGATGATGTAAGATAAGAAAATACCTATGTGATAAAATGAAGTGAGGAGAAAGCGGAGAGCATTCGGATCCGGCGGGAAGCTACTACCGACCTTTGACGCTACCAGAAGCTACTACTGACCTTTGACGCTACGTCAGGGGAGGAGAAATCATCTACTTCCGGGACCACGATTGAGGGCAAAACCTTGGCTAAAGCGGCACTACCAGCTTTCCCCACTTTCTGAAACTCCACATTATGCCACTTTCCTTTCATAAAAGCGAAAATCCCCTTCTGAACTTTTTCCATTAGGGAAAGCAGGTGCTAATGTAAGTCTTTCCTCAACGTGAAGTGGTATTACACAAACTTTCGGAAAGCGGAGAATACTTCACTTTATGCCACTTCGGCTTATGAAAGATTTTATAGGACTGCTTTACTTTCAGATAGTGGGGAGAACCTGTGCCTTAGTGGTATTATTGTTGTGGTCCCTGTGTCAGAAGTGGCACTGGGCTAATAAATAGCCAAACTAATAAATAGGCTCGGGTATTTAGTACTGTGTTGTCAGAGAAAAGGGACCATCTAAGAACATTGTATTTCCATGGGAATAAACATATTAATTAGCATATACGGCTCATGAGTTTGGCGAACTGTGGTTGGTACGTTCAACTTAAGTTAAAAACAGTAATACACATAAAAAAACCCAACGAAACAAAAAAAAATGTAATACAGTCACTTTTTGTTTTTTATTTTTTTAAATATTTATTTATTTATTTAAAAAAAAAAAAAAGAAAGAGGAGTGTGTGTGTGTGCGCGCGCGCGCATTCCTGAGTAGCAGAAGGGGTAGAGGGAGATGGAGAAGTAGAGACGCAGACTCCCCGGTGAGCGGGGAGCCCAAGTGTGACTCAACTCAGGACCCTGAGATCAAGACCTGAGCCGGAATCAAGAGTCCACTGCTCAACCAACTGTGCCACCCAGGGAGGGGCCCTGAGTCCGTTTTTGATCACCTGGGTTTGGATCCAAGCTAATTATATTATTCCATTAACTCTGCTTAAGGGCACCAATATGGAATTAACTTGAAATATACATTTTAGAAAGAAACCTGTATCTGTCACTAACTGAGCAGGTAAATTTCAAGGAGTTAACTTTGGAGAAACTATACAAAATCCCTAGAAGAGAAGGTAGTATGGAATGGAAGAGAAAGAACAATTATTGGAACTTAATATAACTTAAATGTAACTGGATCCATAGGCAGCATCATTACTTGAAGGTCGTGGGGACAGAATTTAGAAGTAAGAAATTATCATTTTAATAGAATGAGTTAGCCTCAAGTGGAGGTTTGATTGTAAAGTCAAGTCAGAATTTTTCAGATGGAAAGGTGCTTTGATCCTATCCTATGTGGTAATGTTGTATGAACTTTTATTATGTATGATTTCTGAATTTTTTATTATATATGATTTCTGAAAGTGGGTAGTTTATTATCTTACAAACTGATGGTCTTATGTTTTTGTTTCCAATAAATAGTTTAGTGAAATAAAACTATAATGCTTTCCTCAGGGTGTTGATCATTTCAGTCATATCTCTTTCCATTCACAAGCTATGGCAGAACACTATCAAAACCACTATTTATTAATTAAAAGTTTCATATGAAGGAAATCAATCGCCCAAAAGAAAGTGAGAGAAAACATTGTTGTCGCTACTGCCCCAAGCAATTTTGATTTGTCTGAATAAGAGGATACAATTTTATTTCACTTCTTTGTGTGGACAAGTCCACTTTCCTCTAGAATCCTTTTTTCAGGCACTGACCCCGTCAGTGTATTGGGTCACTGGGCAGTAGAATCCAATGAGAACAGTGGCTAAATTAAACCACTTTTATTTAATGTATAAAATGACTCTGACATTCTTTTATATTTTGAAAGTTGTTTTTTTTTAAATCACATCAGGGTATGGGAGAAAGGTCTGCTTTTTAGCAGACACAAGGGAAAGATCAGTTATTATTTTTGCTGAAAGCAGATTATGGTCATATCCTAAAATTATATATTATGGTGACTTGACATTGAGTTGGACATTCTTAATATACAACCTTATAGAATGACATGTAAATGATATACTAAAAGTAAAAAGTTGGATATGTTGGAATTTAAAATACAAAGATAAATGAGAGACCATGTCAGTTGGGCAAACAAGATCTGAGTTAATATAATAATCTCTCCCTTTCAAGATGTGTGTCATGAAAATAACAGTGACAACAGTGATTTAAAATACATTTCTGAATTGAAGTACAGAAGTAGATGTGCTTGGCGGCGTGTTCATTTTATTGGCAACTTGTAAGGGCTGTCGCCAGAAGACTGTTCCCACAGTGGTCGTAAAGCTGTGAAGTTGTCTGATTCTAGACGCTGCTTCACGGTTTCTCTGGTCCCCTAGTTGTAATGTGCTGGATACTGCACAAATCCATCATGGAACACAATTTCCTTTCTAACTAAGGAACACTAATTTGGGGGAAATTCTTGCTATTGAAGACCTGCCAAACAATCTACAAATGGAAAGGAGTCTGGAGACTGTGAACACTATTGGCAACTTATGAAGTATTAGGTAATAAAGAAGCAATGATGAGAAGCACGTGATGCTGACTCTTGCATTTTGTTCAATCTGATTCTGCATATATATTAATAATGATGCACCCTATGGATGCAATTTCATGTTTATAACACTTTGGCCATTGGCAGCATTGTGCACCTGTGTTTTCCCTGCCTTCCCATCTGCTGCCTACAGTCATTCAGATTCAGGTGACGGAAATGTTTTAGATAAAAGTTAATTAGCCTGCACTCTGCAGATCAAATCTCTATAGTTCAGCATTAAATAGCAATCTTCTGGGCAACTGCTGAAAGTAGCGGGTGCCCAGCCTTCCTAAGATTAAAAGTGTAAGATTCATTTTTCTAGAAAAAGAAATCTTTGGTACTCTCGCGATATTTTATGCATAGATTCTACCAAACTTTTCACTTGTATTTGGCCTTACTCATTTTAGCTTTTATCTCTGTATATATATCAAAAGTGGAAGAAAAGAGATTAAAATATTTTTTTTCCTGCTAAAGGGATAGTGAAATGATATGTAGAGTTAGAAATTCTCCAGTGTCTGGACTCTTTTATTAGTACACTGACCAAAACTTTCCTTAGTTCCTCAATCTTTACCATGGGGCCAACACAGATTACCTATTTGTTTCATAAATATTTGTGCAAGGCTTAATGAAGCTTGATATTTTGATTAAAAAAAAATAATGCACAAAATGCATTAAACTCCCATTGTTGAGAGGATCCCGCCCTCTCTTTAAATATGTACATTATTGTCAATAGTAAGTTCACAAATAGCTTATTTTATTGAAAATACATTCAATTTTTTAACCTATATAAACGAATGCATTAGATTCTTCTGTTTTTAGTCCTAAATCACTGAGACAGAAATGGGCTGAACACAGCTACTGCATACAGCCAGTCTCTGAGCCCACATCACACAGATAGTAGGTAGGGACCAAAAAAACAAAACAAACAAACAAAAAAACAAAACCAATCCCAAATGAGTCCTCCCATCGATTTTTTCGCTACCAGATATTAATACTACTGCATTTCAATGCCCAAGGGTAATTAACCGCCCTTCTTTACCCATGGCTTCCGTACTATTGCAGATTTCCTGTTTACTCATAGGAATTCAGAGGGATTTTTTTTTTCTCCGTACACCACCGCCCAAGGCTCAGGCACACCTTCTAAAGAAGTCAGAGCAGATGCAGCTCTTCCTGCCTCATGCTCACTTCCTCTCGGGAGTTAGAGACTCTAGCGTCGTCAGGAATCTCACATCCCCATCCCCCGAGCTCATCTTTAGAAAATCGATTGTTCTCCAGGCTCCTGAACTTTGACTTCTACTTCCCTCCAGCATCCACTAGGTTTTCCCAGCTCGTCAAAACATGAGGTGTTTTTTTTTTTTCGCTTATTTTCCCCCACTTCCTTTCTTTATTCTGCTACCCCTACCTCTTATTTCTGTCCGCACTTACACTGTCTTATTTTACTTTTACTGAGGCTCTTCAAACAATCATCCATGGACATGGTCCGATCCTTAAACAGTAATCAAAGTTGTAAAGCCCCATGTCCCTCCAGACTTCAGCCTTCCTCTTTCTCCCCTCCTCCCCTCCATAAAGGTCCCGGCCCCCAAGCGGCGCCCCACTCCTCTCACCTGACTCTCCCGCGGAAACTCGTGGCGCACGATGCTGATCACCGGAATGTGCAGGACGGAGCTGACCAAGTCGAGCTCCATCATCTCACCCTGGCTCTGGGGGAAGGCGAGCAGCGCCGACACCCCTTGCACCACCACGGTGTGGCACACGCTCTGCAGAAAGGAGAAAGGGTCACTGCTCCACGGCGAGCTTGGGGAGGAGAAAGGCAGGAGCGGCAGATCGCCCAGGCCCGCCTCGATGGCCATCACGACTTCCAAAGAGAGGTTGTAGGGCAGCAGACCTTCCACGCGGTTCAGGTTGTCCACGGCGAAGAGGAGGGCGTCCCGAGGCCACAGGGTCTCGGCCCCGGCGCCCTCCCCGGGCTTCTGGGCGCGCGGCGGGCCCCGGCCATGCAGGGCGCTCCCCAACCAACGTGCGCCCGGCGAAGGCGCCGGGGGTCGCCAAGTCCCTGGCTCGGGCTCATCCCTCTGGGCGCCTGCCCGGCTGCCGTCCGGAGCGCGGCTGGCGACGCGGGGGGCCGTGGTCCAGGGCTGCAAGTGCACCGCGCCCACCCTCACCGCGTGCCCGATGCGCTTGAGGATCTGGCAGGGCTGCGGGTGCGAGGAGGAGCCGGGCACCCCGGCCAGCACCAGAGCGCAGGGCGGCGGCAGCAGCAGACAGACCCTGCTCAGCAGCCACCACAAACTCAGTCTCCTCATTACTGAGACCCGCAGGGAGAAAGCGCGCCCCCTCCTGCGCCCGGCTCGCCCCCCCTCCAGCCGCTACCTAAGGTCTCCGCCCCCAGGTCCCGCGGGCAGCTCACTCTACGCTGCGGAGCGCTCCCAGGAGCCGAAGCGGTCTCCGAGCCATCCAAGTTGGAGCCTAGCGCACCCGGGTGCCTCCGCCTCGCATCCTCCGCCCGCCCGGTCCCTGCTCGGAGCCGTGCAGGCGGGCGGGCCGGCGTCGGTCACCCGAGGCTTGGGCGCCGGTTCCCTGCTCTCCCCATCTGCAGGGCGGCTGGGGCACTGCGTCCGGTCCCGTGGCTGGGCTGGAAAGCCGCCGGAGTTCCTAGGGGGGCAACGCGACCCAGGAGGCAACGCGCTCACTTGGATTCTTTTCTTTTCCTTTTCTGCCCAGGCGAGACCCACTAATTTCCTTGGGGTCGCGCAGGAGGCAGCGTTCACGCCCGGAGTGCGAAGAAGAAGCCAAATCCTCCTTGCTCCACCGTCCGCCACCCTCTGGCGGGCCCCCCCGGCACTGGCTTCATCTTTCTTCCTGTCTCGCTACTTCCTCTTTTCCTTGCTTCGCTCCTCTTTCCGCCCAGTCGCCTCCGCCGCCTGCTTCCTCGGAGGAGCGACGCGACTGGCCAGCAAAGGGTGGTTCTGCTCCGAGCGCAAAGTTCTCCCCGCCTCAGCCGGCGCCTCCCTGTTGCTGAGCCCTGGCGTCAGCCTGTCGCTTGGCTGCGCTAAACGCCCACTGATGGTGAGATTCCCGGGTGGCGCTTCCCGCGCCCCTGGAAAGTCTGCTCCCCAAAGGCGCCGGGGCTTGGTTTGCGAAATTCCGTGAGACCCGCGAGGGCGAGGGCGAAGGCGAGGGCGCGACTCTGAGCCGCAGAGAATTCCGAATGCGGATGTACCTGAAGAATCTGAAATCCAGTGGTTCGCCGGGCTGGGTTCTAAGAAGCTGGGACTTCAACGAGTAACGAGCTTCTCTTCCATGTGGCGCTTTAAAGGTTTTTCTCGCTAAGGGCACCAAAGCCAGAATCATTTACACATTTAATCTCCTCGGCTTCCTTCTCTCGGGCACGTGCGCCTTTGCGGTTTTTAAGGATTCCTCATGTTTTTAGGTTCTCGGAAGTAGATAAGTGAATTTGGAGCAATTATTTGACCAAGAAATTAAAGAGCTTCAAAATACTTTTGGAGTTTCAAGCACGGTCAACAGCAGTTTCTAGTTTAGACTGAGAGCCCTCCAGATCACTATTTCTAGTAAGTTCTTTCATTTGTATGGTAATGCAGTGAAGTCAGTGGTTTAGGATTTGGTCTCTTCCTCCAGGACCTGAATCTGAAATTAGAAGCCAAAGAGAGGGTTAAGGGCAGGCCTGTGGTTTCCACGCGTGCAATAGATTTATTTTATGCCTTGGTATCCTTTAGGAGGAGATTAGAGACACATCCTTGGGGTAAGCAAGACTGGGGACCTGCTGTTCTGAATTTCAGTACCACTTCAAGAGAACCGTGACCTTGGCGATTTATTTCACCTGACCTTGCCCTGCTGTTTGGAGCTGCTAAATTGTTATGCAAATACAGCTAGCTTTTAACTCTGGAGGGCTGTTTTGATTCATGAGCTAAAGTTTCCATCATGCTTTTAATCTTTGGGATGAAGAAGCTCTCGCTAAATAAAATTCCCAAGAAGGTTGCAAAGTGAATGCTGTTTTCCTCAAAACAGACATTTAAAGGCATCTCAGAACAAAACTTTTCTGACAACCAGAATAGCTGCTGCAAACCTGGGGTGCCAGAAAAGAAAAGGAGTGAAAATCATAATAAAGGATGAACCGCAAGGGAAGGGGTCCCTCCTGAGACCCTAGAGAGCACCCCAAGCATGGAGCTGGAAATTCTTGCAGGCTTCAGAGGATTCCACTGATTGGGGACTGATTAAGAAAAGTATAGAATTTCGTGGTCCTTGCATTGCAGGAAAACTGGGAATCTATTTATTGTATAGTAAGAAGATATGCTTCTGTGTGTGTGTGTGTGTGTGTGTGTGTGTGCATTAAGGAGTGTGACATTCCAGATGATGACCGTGCCCTATAGTGGTTATCTTAGTACTTGGCATTACATACATATTCAAATCAGGTTCTCAATAAAATAGATGGTGACAAAGAATAGATGGGTCTGTGGGTTAATTTGATCCTACATTCTTTAGGCCTCTCAAGTCCATGACCACCTTGAGGGACCAGCTGAACTGCCTGTTCACAGGAGGGGATGATTCCCAAGGTTCTAAGGATTGTGCTCCACCAGCTCATGATAAAACCATAGCTAAATCTTGCAAATACTGAGGGTTCACAGTGACGAACAGCCCTTCCTTCCTGTACTTCATCTTTTGTTTCTTTCCTGGGCTTTTTGATGATGATATACTGTCTCCCTTTTCATTTTCTTTTGCTGCTAGGTTCTGTTTATCCATATCACTGTCATCTGAGTGTCTCTGACATGATTCTTTTCTCTCCTTTTCTCTCCTCTCCCTTTCTTTTTTCCCTTCCTTCTTCTCCTCCTTTTCCATGTTTCAATGGACATAATGTTGAGAGCTCTTTTAGATTCAGTCATCAGTTCAACAACCATTTATTAAGCTCCTACTCTGTGCCAGGCATTGCTGTAGAACTGTCCTGGGGATAGATAAATTCCAGATCAGAGAAGTTGAGAGTCCCCCGCCACACACAAACCACATATTTAATGAGTGAACAAAATGCTGACATTGAGCTTATATTCCAGTGGGAGAGAAAGACAATAAAGCATACAAAGAAGTAAATATAGGAGATATTAGTTGATGCTAAGAAGAAAAGTAGATCAGCAAAGGGGAAGCATGAGGAGAGTAGGTTGTAATTTTAGATAGCAGAGCCAGGGTAAACTGAGAAGAAAACTTTTCAATAAAGAGTTAAACAGAGGTGAGGGGGTAATTATATAAACATTCAAGACAAGAATTTCCAAGTAGAGGAAACAGCAAGTGCAAAGGCCCTGTGGCCGGGTGTTTCTGGCATATTTGAGGAATAGTGAGGGGTCCAAGGGTACCTGGGTGGCTCAGTAGGTTAAGTGTCTGCCTTTTGCTCAGGTCATAATCTCAGGGTCCTGGGATTGAGCCTCCTCTCGGGGTCTCTGCTCAGTGGCAAGTCTGCTTCTCCCCCTCCCTCTCCCTCTGTGATCTCTCTTGCTCTCAATCTCTCTCAAATAAATAAATAAGAACCTTAAAATAAAATAGTGAGGGGTTGAGGGTTGCTGGAGCAAAATGCTCTAGGGTAAGTGCAGTGACAGGTCAAGCCAGAGAAGCAATGAGGAGATGAAAGATAATGTAAGCCAATGAAGAATTTTGGCTTCTACTCTGAAGGGAATGAGAAGGTATGGGGGCAGGTGTTAAGCAGAAGAGTGACGGGATTTATGTTTTAACAGGACTACTCTAGCCGCTCTATTGATAATAGATGAAAGGTAGGCAAGGGTAGGAGTCAGGAGACCAGATATAAGGCTGTTGGCAATAATCCATGTGAGAGAGGACATTACTGTCAAATCATAAAACCACTTTATCAGATTAGTGTTAATTATTCCCATTCTATAGGATAGGATATTATATTTGTATGTATATATATATATATTATATTTATATTTGAGAAAAGTTGAGTTATTTGCACAAAGTCATTGCATAGTGAGTGGCAGCATGAATTCGAGATTCTAAGTTCATCCCAGCTGCATTCTTGGTAGCAAGAATCAGCCAAATCTCAAAATTGGCTCACCCAGAGAAGATGAAGCTCTTTTTTTTACCAAATTCTAAATGAGAACTACTGATCTAAGAACCCATGTTGGAGAGTCAAATAAACAAAAACAAATCCAAATGCTCACAATTTAAAAGGTGCTTTTGTGCACATCTGTGCTTTCTGGTACCAGTAACCGGTAAACTAAAAGCTGAGATATTCTGGAGGTAGCCCAGGAAAGGCTGCCACGAAGGATGCTGTGGGAGTCAGAAACTTGGATTCTATTTTCAGCACCGTTTCCCTCTGGGTGCAACATTTAACCTCCTGAAGCACAGATTCCTTCTTTGTACTGGGGTTGTGGTGACAGCTCTTGGCAGTTGTCTACACGGCAGTGTGTGGACTCCTGCGAACCCTTTTCAAGTTCCATGGGAGTGGGAGGCTTTCTGTAGGCCTTTTGGTTCAGTCACATATTTATAAAGGCTTGGGAAATTACCTTTTTTCTTTCCTTTTAGCCTGACGGATTTCAAGTTCTACCCATATTTAGCTTTGTGTAGATAGGCAAGAATATTAAATGCCATGTTCCTATCTCCGGGTCAGCCTTTTATGCAATATTAGCAATGGAGGTGGTTGTTGTTGCTGTTTTTATCAATATTCAGATGAAAAAAAGTGCTCACCTCTGCCTAATAATTCCATAAGCCCAAATTGTACCCTCTCCCACATCAGTTCTTGTCTCTATTGCCAGAGACCCTGTTGTTATGGGAATCCTCCTGGGTAAAAACAAGCAAACAAAACAAAGGAACAAACAAAGAAAAAACAGAAACAGAATCATAAATATAGAGAACAAAGTGGTGGTTGTCACTAGGCAGGAGGTTGGAGGGGCGATGAGTGAAGTAGGTGAAGGGGACGAAGAGGCACAAACTTCCAGTTACAAAATAAATAAGTCACAGAGATGAAAAGTACAGCATAGGGAAGATAGTCAATAATACCATAATAACATTGTGTGGTGACAGATGGTTAATTACCCTTGTGGTGAACACTGTGTAACATATAGAATTGTGGAATCATCGTGTTGTGCTCCTTAAGCTAATATAACGTTGTATATCAACTATACTTAAATAATAAACATTTTAAAAAATATGTGGAGTTGGTAGAGAAGCGATGGTAGCAGAATTTGAGGATGAAATGAATCACAGAAAAATCAGGTCAATTTTGAGGAGCAGACCCTAAAGGCCAATCTATCTAAAGCCTAATTATCCTTTTTTGTTCCCCCAATTTTAAAAAAAGCCTATATTCACTTGATACCTTGTAACACTGTTCTGATATTCTACTTATTAGGTATTAATTTTGTCACTAGTCATTCTCTTCAAAAAATACAAGTAACTTTTGTGATTATGGGATTATTCGGATAAATTATTTAATCCTGATTATTGTAAAATTAATATCCTGTTGGGAATTTCTTTTCAATAGGGGGAAGGCATTCATTTTGCCTTATAAGGAGATTTAGGGACATAAGAAAGGACTAGGTAGGATTTCACCAAAGGAATTTTAGGCAACCCAAGGGACTGGAATAAGAGAAAAGGAGCATTGGGAGCTAGGAAAATGGTGCAAAGAAAGGGAAGCAAAAAATGAGATGTCTTATCTATTTCAAATAATGCTCAGTCTTTGCTGTGACACTGGAAAATATAAAGGGAAA